CGAAAATCCTTTGAGATTTTGCAATGAAATTTTACATAGCAACTCCCTGTGGCCTAAGGAAGACCCTATTGATTTTAAGGTCAAAAGGTCAAAGTTCAAGGTCGTAAATTTATACATTCCGTCTGTGTGTAACACTTCCGTTTCTGAAGAAGCTTTTGAGCTTTTGCAATGAAATTTTATACCATAACTCCCTAGGGCCTCATTCACTCCTCTCAAAGTGTCTCGCCCCGTTTTTTAAAATTATTTATTGTATTAAAAGTCGCTTGACACTATTTTTAGCATAGGGGCATGTGGAGAGTTATTACGTATAATATGTAAAACAACATAAATCAATCAATTAACAATAGTTACTTCCATTGGTATGTCGACTAAATATATCTCAGTGAACTAGAAATTAAAGACACATCATTGTCTGCCACATTTGGATGTTTTATTGACTGTAGACGAGAAGGGTCAACCAAGAACTTAATTGTATGACAAATGAGATGACTTCAGCTTTTCCATCGTCAACTTTTTTTGTTTATGTAGTAATATTCCGCTATCACCTGCACATAGTGTTTATGTCTTCCAACATATTGGATACTCAAGAGCATGCTCTGTGTACGATCAATTCTTAAACCGAGACAGGCTACTGACAGATCAGTTGAATTTAGAGGGATTTCAACAACCTCGTTTAAAGTCAGCATTTTGTTAATTCTGTTGTCGTTTTAATGACCATGTTAAGAAATATAACCCTAAAATTAGGTCGTATTTTTACTGGAATATTTCATACCAATTGTTAGGCCATTGTTTTACACTAAATTTGTGTACAGAAAATTCCATCTACCTGATCAATACACAGGGCTCACAGCGGGTTTGTTGTTCGACAGAGGATGCTTACTTCTTCTAGGCACCTGATCCCACCTCTGGTCCTTGTTTTATGCCCTGCTCACAGATAACTATTGTTTGTTTGTTTTTTTTAGATCGATTACTGTTCGTTATCTTCACCTTTTTCAACAACTGCAACACTGTATAATAAATTCCAAAATACATGTATGACCAAATTACACGTACAACAAGGCCTGATCCCTGGTCATGGAGGACACTTTTTTCTTATAGATATGAAGAGGACAAGATGCTCATTATAATCATGCATGCAAACAATTTACCTGCTAATGAAGAAGAGGAGGAAGTTCAAAGATGAAAGAACAAGGCTCAAATAGGGCCTTTTTTGGCTCTATGAATTTCTTTAAAATCAAAACGGCGACAATATGTACCTACCCTCACTACACATATTGTTGTACATCGGTGCGTATTGACACCAGCGACAATATGTGCCGAGAAAAGCCCTTTTTCTTCCCGCAGAATGGGCAACACTATGTATATAACATTTCGGCAATATGCACTACGAACATTTGCACATTTTATTGCTAAAAAAATAAGCTGGTTTGGAGAATGTTTTACTTTGATCGAATAGATAGAGATTCTTGGTATCTTTTTATTCAAACTTACGCGTTTTAAAATACACAGAAAAACTCAGATTATTGAGCTAGAGCGAACTTCATCAGTATGCCTAAGTCAGTGTGAATTACAAATCAATGATACTCAAAAAACTTTTGAAAATTTCTAAGTAACTGGGGCGACAATATGTGCAATGAAGCCTTCAAGGTAAGCACACATTGTCGCCTGCGACAAGATGAACACGTTTATTTTTTCAGCCTGAGACAATATGTGTTGATGGACGAAAATATATGCAGCAAGGGAAGGTACATATTGGTGCCGACGTCAATATGTACAGAACGAAAATCCTAATCTTGCCCTTTGCAAAATCTATTTCTAAAATAACAAGAATTGACTCTCATATTTAAAAACCATGATGTTTAAGCGGGGAAATGCAAAACAAAACAATGAGTAATTTTTAAATGCCAATTTTGGACTGTGGATATCTGATCTATGAACTAATGAAGGGGATGGTCTTTTAAAGACCTATTTAAAGACCAAAGTTGCGTGTTTCCGAGACCTGTGTCAATAAATATATGGACGTCTCCAATAGAAGCTGGTAAACTCTGTTAGGCCTGCGATCGTTAACCTGTTGGTGAAGGGAGACCATTTTATTCTTTACTGTTAACAGGTGAGTGTTATTTTATTTATTGTCTACTTTATGATTATATTCCACGCTCGATTTCCTTATAATGACTTAGATAAATCTATGTCTGTAAGAACAATGATTTTTGGATTGAAATATAAAACTGGAATGCTTGCTGTTCATGTTAGTGATCTCTTTAACGCGTTAATTATATTCAATGTCAGAGCTAATTATAATTGGCCTCCAAATGTACTCTTTATATTTGAGTTTTAATAAAGACTTTCAAATACATCTAGGCGTCTTTTAAAGAAAATATACTTTTTTTCAAATAAAAGTTTTTTAAATTATGACAAGAGTTCATAGTTTGTTTTTAAATTTTGCTAGGACACAAAATAAGGAAAAATAGAAACATTGTTGGCTGTATATAACTTGTAATGTTGCTTTTCTTCTAGTGTGATATCAATATTTTTTTTCATAAAGCTTTCACAATATAAACTTTTCACCATAGAGTAAAAATACTCGTTGATTCCTTTGTCTGACTCTACATTTTTCTATAATTCACGTGATTTTTTAAAAGTCATTGTGAAAGTAGCAATATTGCGTAATAAGTAAGAATAATCCGATAAATATTTTATTTTTCTTACGTACATGTAGTGACAGTTAAAGGTAGTATAGACGTAACAGATTAAGTACCATTTTGCAATCGAAGTTTGAATTAAAAACAAGTAGATGAGACACAGCACGGAAGTATTTCGCCACAACCTCTTACCCCGATTTACTTTATTTAGCTTTTAACATAAAAGCAACGAGCAATTTAAAACTTAAACAAATACCTCACAGTTCCTAACGTTACTTTGGTAGTTTTTTTTAAAGTTGACTTGCACTTTCTTCTGTGTACCCCCTTAAGGTACCCCTTGAAGCAATTAAAATTTTATTACTTTTTGAGGCAATTAATCCTTTTATGTTTTAATTTTATCAAAATCAGATATGAATGGTTTTTTCATTGTATCATATGATTTGTAATCATACTGCCCAAAAATTTTACTCCCAAGATAAGTGTCGTCCTGTTAAACAATGTAAATTAACTTTTTTTTTGCACGGTGTAATTAACATTTATTGTAATTGATATAACTTACTATTTGGTAAGAGATTGTGATTTATAAACTTGTTCATGTTAATCTTTTTATCTCAGTTGAATTGTATTTTATTTATTCTTGATGTATTTTTCATAAGTTTGTAATAAATGTAACTCAGTCATTCTACGATAAATGGACCAATTAAGAGTAAAACAAAACATGAAAAAAAATATTTGTTTCAAATAGCAAAATAAACATCATAATTCTCTAAAGGACCTATCAGTGAACTTGAAAACAAAGAATTGTCCACAAATCTGGTATCGTTAACTTTTTACAACAATTTGAAGATGCCATTGATTTTAAGGTAATGTTACGGAAGTTATTAATGCTTGGTCAAGCCTTATTATTTTTTAAATAAAGCTGAATTTGACCAATTTTTCGTTTCTGGTGTTCAGCAAAGAACGCTCAAGTATGATTCATGAAGTCTCGCATGAATCCGAATTTAAATTTTCGGGAAAAATATCGTTACGGAAGTTAATCGTTACGGAAGTTGATTCCCAGCAATAAAAGTTAGAATTCTCTTCAGTAGTTAAAATCATAGTTTGTTTTAGGATATTAAACAAAAGTATGAAGCATTTCGCTCCCAAAATAATCAAATATTTTATACCTTAAATGCAAAAACTTTTCTGAATTACCGTTACGGAAGTTAATTTTTTAAGAGAGACAACTGTTTTTGTCTGATTCATTTTGTTATGTCGAAAATGTAATCGTGTAAAATAGATGACTCGCAACTAGAATCGATGATATAAGGCTCCGTGGTCACTTTCAGATAAGTTTCAGTTCTTTTTGAAATCTGCATTCTATGCGTGAAATTTAAAACAAAATCGTTACGGAAGTTAATCGATTTTAAGCGACATGCTTATAAATTCGTATGAAAGGAGATCTATGCATTTCTTCGCGAGAAGTGGTTTGATTTCTTTTTATATAGGATAAAAGACATTTTTTAACATTCATTGCACTCTATTCGGAACGATTTTACGGCTGAAAATTTCATCTTGAAGTTTGTACATACATGTAAATGAAGCGATACTAAGATTTGCAGTGGAGTACGTTTTTCAACATTACATTATGTTCATATCAAAACTTTAACTGCATATATATATATATATATATATATATATATATATATATATATATACACACACACACACACACACACACACACATATATATATATATATATATATTTACAAAACCATGTGTGTATTTTAAGAGTTAGAGTTGAAGTCAACCTTTAAATTCATAATTAAGGTATTACAACGGTAAATTTGCAAGCGACATAAAAAATTCTTAATTGGTCATGTTTTTGTAGAATGACTGAATTATGTTGTTGACACGAAGTTAAGAGAGACTTTAAATATACCATATTTGTATAAAAAAAATTATCTATTGTTGCATTAAATCTCAATTCACTCAGGATTATCGTTTAATTGATGATTTATCGGCTATTTCTAGTAATCACAGTTCTTTATGAATAGTTGAGAAAAGAGTCGATTATTTTTGCTTTTCAACTTAAATCTCCACTGATTTAATTTTTGTATCAAAGGATTTTGAAATCAAATGGTAATTTAAAAGATTATTTTGTTTTCGTTAGGCTACTATCGTAAGTTCTGCTTGACAACCGCAGTAATAAGTAAATAAAAAAATAGCCATCAAATAGAATTTATAAAACTAAAACAAGTAATTAGACATTATTTGTTTAGCGGAGTCTTTGTGTGCCTTTTCTCTGTTTTATATCGAATTCAAATCCAATCGAAGGGACCACATTATTCTAAACATATTGCAGATACACAAACGAAATGGGGTGCGGATCGTCCTCCCCAACAACCCCAGCACCTGTAAAAAACAGAGACAAAGGCGGTGTGCTCCATACGTCAGAGGTAACAGAGGAGGATTTTGAACAAACTGTGGCACAACCAACAAAAACAATACCATACAGTAATGGGATGACAATACAAACTAATAATTCAAAAACAAATCATGTGCAAAACAAATCAAATGCTAAGCCTGAAAAAACCCATAACTCGTCATCTAGGAATTGCCACGATGATGATCTTTTGGTAGAAAACTTAGAGGAAGTAACAGGAAGCAGTGTAATTCCAAAGCCATCCAGGAAAAAGAAATCACAAATTATTCCAAATTCCGAGATGTTTAAAGCAATAGATAGCCATGTTGCAAGGGTAATTATTCTTGAATTCACGGGAAAAAATAATAAGACGATTTACTTTAATTCCATTACATTCAAAAATATCGAAATGAATACCGATGCATTTCGAAATAATTAAGAAGTGTTCAAATGTTAAAGTTAGAGCATTCTCTGATCAATTCCTCTTTTTAAAATTAAGATTTTAAGCATTTTAAACGTTTGAATTTCAGACACCAGCCTCTGTATGTAGTTCTATCGCAACTCTCGCGGAGTATCTCCTCAAGCCAGCACATACACCGCTAGAAAGAGCAAGAGCTATACACAAATGGATTACAACCAATATAATGTAAGCAACTCTTCGTGTTTCAGTAACTTCCCATCCCACATCTACACCCAAATGTTTAAAGAAACATTTTCTTTCTTTTTTTTTTCATAGTTTTGTTTAAAACAGAGGCCTTATTGAACAAGCATTTGCTTTTCCATTAAAAATATAATACTTGTAATATTTTATCTTTCATTTTTCAATAGGTATGATATAGATGGATACATGGGAAGAAGTGGAAAAAAGTCATGTGATTCTGCGGATGTTTTGAAGAACCGATCTAGCGTCTGTTCCGGATATAGCAATCTCTTTGAATCCTTGTGTCGGTAGGTATATGCAGTAAATACATGTATATGTTTTATCAAGTATGTACTGATAGATATCTTCTGACATGTGTAGTCACCAGCACTAAAATACAGTACTTTTTTATCGACAAAGAATTCTAAAATAAATTTTGACATCTGCCTTTTTCTACTTAGTCATTAGTTTTACAAACCCATTAGTAAGTCATCCTGATAACATAATTTACATGTGGGAATGTTGTAGTTAAGAATGGAAAATGAAACAGACCTTTTTTCCAGATGTGCTCATATACCTGTTATGGTAATTACTGGGTATGGCAAAGGATTCGGTCATAATGACAAGCAGGAAGTGGACATCTCTAATTTGAGCACCAACCACGCTTGGAATGCCATATTTCTTGAAGGAGAATGGCGGCTACTTGATTGTACATGGGATGCCGGTTATGTCGATGGCAAGTCATTTCACTGGCACAAACGGGATTATTACTTTCTTATGGATCCAGAGTATTTCGTCAGCTCGCACCTGCCACTCCTAAACAAAGATCTTGCAACTAGTGAACCCTGGCAACTACTGGATAAACCAGTAGATCCAAAAACATTTTTCAAATCATTGAAACTAGAGGACGGCGCGGTAAATCATGGGATATTTCCTCTGTCTCATAAAGAAACTGTGGTTCACGTTAATGGAGAAACTTGTATAGAAATTCAGAAGTATTTACCTGGAGATATTGTGGACACTTTGATATCATTTGTAGACGACGAAAATAACAAGGAATACGAGCAATGTGTGGCGACCGAGAGATCCGGAAATGAAGTTATAAAATTCCACGTGAGACCACCCAAACCTGGCATTTACAGACTGAGCATATTTGTAAATGCACCCAAAGAAGAGAAAAAATGGCCACAACTTTTTAAATACATCATAAACTGCACCAGCGCCCTAGAAAATTTGGTTTTATTTCCCAACCACCGACAATTGTATGGCCCAAAGCATGGATACACAGAATTGGGATTTGACAGAGGTATAGAGGAGAAATCAATTTATTCAACCAGTTCAGGAGAACTAGAGATTAGTCTTCCAACCTTGAGACAAATGTCCGTACTATGTACGCTGGAGAGTCAGGACTCGTCTAAAATACAGAACGCTGTATTTCAACAATCTACTGCAAACTCAATTTCCTTATCCGCCAGACTCCCTAAGACAGGAAACTATAAGTTAATTGTTTTTGCATCGAAAGAAAAGGAATACGTCGTAGCAATCACCTTTATGATTCAATGCACCAATGTTCTCAATGATTTCAAGCCATACCCAGTTGTATATGGATCTACCTCTACAAAATATCAAGTCATTCTTTACGAACCAAAAGTCAAAGGAATACCAGCAAATACCCCTGTTGTTTTCAAATTTTCGTCCCCTGTTCTAAAATCTGTACAAGTTGGATCCAAAGTTTTCTTGAAAGCAAACGATAGTGACGTATGGGAAATTACTTTTGACACCCCTGATTCTGGGGTACAGGTGAATTTGTTTGGAGGAGCTGAGGAACAAGGGAAAAGGGATGGACTATTTGGATTTCTGACAGTGTAGTCTTCTTATTATAACAATTAAAATCTCTTAATAACGCAATCATATATCAAACATCCTGACGAGGACAGACTTCTTTTGTATGTTGATTTTGTTATCAGTTTACCAGTTTTTTAGTATCTCTTTGGTTGTTATTTAACAACATAGAGATCAAAGTAACAAATCTATACTTATAAATTAATAAATTTTGCAAATAAACTCCGAAATGGGTGCACCAGAGTTCTTACTTACTCCTCTATGAATACACTAGATACTAGATGATGTCCGTAAACTATATTTAGATTTCACTCGCATAGTAAGTATCGTACATTAAATTAAAAGTCACTTTCATTTTCTATAAACAGCCATGAAATAGCAAAAACGTGAGTACGGTGGCGGTTCTTATTACTGGCAATTTTTAATGAAACTGACGACAAGCAATCGTTTATTTATTTCATAAAACGTCATCACTGTATTATTCAAACTTGATTTCAATGATATAAAAGAAATAAGTTGTGATAACCGGTTAAAAAGGGAAATGTGTAAATTATTTTCGTCATTCACCGATCTTAATATTGACGGAAGCTTCTAGAACATCATATACATGTAGCATCGAGCCCGACGTTAAAAAGAAAAACGAGGCGATTATAGCTGCATGAACATAAAAAAAAATTACCGGTAAAATTTGTATATTCTTCATCGTGGCAACGAACCCGACGTACAATTTGTACTTCGTAATAAACTTGCTTTCGTGAAAAGAGAAAATTAATGAATAATTAAGGTATTGTTCAAATACAATTAAAGCGCTGCTGTTAAATTTTTTTTCTTTAATCCGTACATTTCATTTTTTTTTTTCTGAATTCAGTCTTTTGTATCAAATACTTGGCCTATTCATAGGGTGTTAAAAGCTAATTTTAAAAAAAATCAGAACAATAAATTTTACATGTTTTTGCTTTTATCTTTGAGGGAAATGAAATAAGAGCACCTGAAGTACAATATCCATTAAACATAGTATAACAGGTTTCACAATAAATGTCAACGGGGGAGACGTACATCTACTTCTATTCCAAAACTAAATGCAGGATTTCGAAAAAAGTATTTCTTCCTTCTATAAGCCTGTAGGCTGTCAGTAGAATCTACAATATATATTACTGGAATTTTTCTGTCGATAGTGGTATAAATTCAATTCCCCGCGCTTGCGCGGGTTTTCATCTAGTTAAAATTATAACACTGATATAGATGCGTGAGCATAATATAAACATATATACAAACTGTGTTTACTGCATTAAATTTCTAAAATTAATAACCAGGAGGATTGACTATCTCGTTAACAATGTAAATACAAGGCCATAGGAACCGGGGCCGGGGTATGTTGATAGTGCCCCCAACTGAAAATGTATGTCCCCCCCCCCCAACTAAAATTGCTTCTTACGGGCCTGTAATAAACGAATACATTCAGTTTATACATGTAGCTTTAGACGCTTGTTTGGCAGCATACTGTTTTGTCTTAATAAATGAACCAGATGATGAGAATATAACTCCAAGATATTTAAAAGGTTTGTCAATTTCATTTTTTTTTGTTATTGTAATAAAAACAACGTGATTTATGTCCCTTTCAAAAAAAAATTTCTTTTTCGATATTAATCTCAACTTTCCATTTTTCACAAAATAATTTTAAAAAAATTTTCAACTGATTCTGTAAATCTTCAAGTGACTGAGAATAAAAATGTATCACTACATATATAAAAAAATAATAATAATAAATAAAATAAAAAAAATCAAAATACTTATTTACTTTCAGAGTACATTTTTAATATCACATCAAAAATTTTCAAGTAATACCATTTTGAATAAGCTTTTGGCATAGTCCCTCTCTCCATACATAGTCAAATGCAGATTTAAAATACTTTATTTCTACCTAAATACTCATTTGAAACAAATTTTTTACATGTTACATTTGTTGTTATTTTTGAAGTATTTAAAGTAATCTAACAACCAAGATTTATGATAAACGTGATGACTTTAACTTTTCAATCGTCAACTTCCCTTACTTATGCAGCAATATACCTTCATCACCTGCATACGGGGTTTATATCTCTCAGTTGATTCGACACGCAAGAGCATGCTCTACGTATGTACAATTTCTAAAACGAGGTAAATTATTGAAAAACAAGTTGATGAAACAAGAATATCAGCAGTCTCGTTTAAAGTCAACATTTCGTAAGTTCTATGGTCGATACAATGACCTTGTCAGCAAATACAATTTATCATTGAGTCAAATGCTGACTGACGTTTTTCAAACTAATTGTTAAGCCATTATTTACACACTGAATTGTCGACGGATTTTTCCGTATTTCCCGATCATGACAAGGAGCACACGGGGGTGTGACCGGTCGGCAGGGGATGCTCACTCCTCCATGGCACCTGATCCCACCTCAGATGTTTTGGAGGTCTGTGTTTTCTCTGCACCTATTTTGTAATGTTTAATGGACTTTTGAGCTTGAATACTGTTCGTTATCTACATATATTTCATTCATAAAATCCTTGAATAGCAATATCACATTTTTTGTTGTTCGGTCTTTTATTTATCAAATAACTTTTTGGATCACTGCTTCTCATTTTTCTATTTGTCCTTTTTTTTTATTTTATCTAGTTTTTATGTTCTTTCATACTTTTCTAAAAAAATTACTCCATGATATTTTTATTTTTCTCACTGACACGTTCTTCTTCTTCCAAAATACTTAAATCATATTTTCTATACATTCGTTTTGATTTCCGAAAAAAAAGATGGGAGTACAAGACGAGCAAAATGCCAATTGTATGACAAACAAGAAAGTGAAAAATCATATCTGTATTATGGCAAAATGTTCTTTGATAATTCAATTAACATTAACGTATACTTTATGTAAAATCTCCACAATTTGCAACAAAGATTGAAATTATTCGTCAATGAAATAGCATATACACACCAAACAGGGCAAAAATGATCATTTTTTCATTCTATATCATAATTTTTCCATATGAGTGGGTCTTTTGAAAGATTATATTCAAAGTACAATGTATGCGTAAAACTATTCATATTTCGGATAAACATGGAGAAAAGACCTACTTTACCAGAAATGCACGTTTATGACATTCAGTCGTATCTTTTCGAGAAATATTAATTTAAAGTTCATTTAGTCAAGGGTCATTTCAAACGTGATTTAAATGCCGCTGTTTGTCATGAGAAGGGTAGCATAGTGGTAGAGTGTTAGTCTAAAAAAAAAACGGTACGCAGGATTGAGGTTTAGAACCTCAAGAAAACCACATTTTTGTAATCATAGGATGATTTATTTTCTTGAGGTAAAATACAACACAAAAATATTATTTAATGGATGTTTAATACATATCTTTTGAAATACGATTTCAGCATGGAAAGATTGATATTAGCTCTTAATTATTTATAATGTGAATTTTTTTGTATTTTTTCAAAGAAAACGTAAAAATTGTGGTGTAGCATTCCTCCTTAAAGAATTTTCCGCAGAAAATTTTTATTTGTCATAATTGCATACCTTTCAAAAATAAGAACTTTATTCTAACTACTTAATTTCACAGATTGAATATGAATTTTATACATTTGAAGCTATAGGTTTTTTGCACATCCTGTTCACCCATCTTCCTTTTCCATACTATCATACATTCCTTGTTAAACAACTCCTTTTTTTGGTTGTTTACTGTGATTTTGGTGAGTAACAACATTGTCTTCGTGGGGCTCATTATTTTAATTGTATTTCAGAGGAAGTTGGATTTTAATTCTGCAAGTGGCAATCCAACTTATACTCATAGTTCTCTTTCTAAGGAGGAAATCCTACAAAATCATATGTCAGTTTTAAATATTTTTAATATTCCCAACAATCAAATTTAGATTGAATTAGCATACCTATAGTGAATTCAATAAACATCCGTACAAAGAAAGATACATAGCGGGTTCCAGTAAATGTTCTATCAAACCTATTTCCTTACTCCTCACTAAGACATTAATAACAGAGAAGGTAAAATTTAAGGAGTACTGTACAAAACTTTATTTGAGAAGAGGTGTAAATCAGATGTGGATACTTAAAAACTTTGAAATCACAAAATTTTACCATACCAGTAATATCAAAACGTACACGATTATTCAACACTTTATACAACCATTCCCCACAATAAATTATAGTACAGCCGTTTAGACATCATACACAGCTGCATTTTCAATAAAAAAATTATCTTACCTTGTCATTGGTCATTTGCAAAATTACTTTGTTAAAAACATTCTGATAGTACATACAAGTACTCCGAAGTTGATATTAAAAAAGATGCTTGAGTTTCTGATTGACAATATTTATGTAGTTATTGGAGATCAAGTCCTCCAACAATCTATTGAAATTCCCATAGGGAGTAATTGTGCCCCGTTATAAGCAGACCTATTTTTGTACTCATATGAAGCAGAAGTTATGCAAAAACTTCTAAATGAAAAGAAGAAGTCTCTTACTGTGGTCTTCAATTCAATATTTCGATATATCGACGACGTTTTTATCAATGAACAATATTTGTTTTCTATTCTTACATTGATTCGATATATTTATTTGAACTCAGATCAAAAGACACTACAGTGTCTGACATTTCTCTTTGGATATTTTACTAGAAATAGTCGTTAATGGTAACCTAACCACAAAACTTTATGATTACTATGATGACTTCGGCTTTTCTATCGTCAACTTCCCTTGTTTATGTAGTAATATACCATCACACAGGCCCGTAGGAAGCAATTTCAGTTTGGGGGCACAGCCATACATTTTCAGTTGAGGTGGCACTATCAACTACCAAAAATTCCTTGACAAGCAAAAAAAAAAAGGCCATCAGACGTTTTTATTGAGGGGGCACAAGTATATAATAGCTATGTTTTCTATAGTAATCTATATATCGGCAAAATTATTCGGGGGCACGCCCCCCCCCCGTGCCCCCCCCCCCCCCGGTTCCTACGGCCATGTCACACTTGCATAATAATGGAGTTAATGTTTCGCAGTTTATTCGATACGCAAGAGCATGCTCTACGTACGAACACTTTCTAAAACGATACAAGCTATTGACAAATAAGTTGATGAAAGAAGAGTATCAACAGTCTTGTTTAAAGTCAACATTTCGCAAATTCTATGGTCGATACAACGACCTTATCAGCAAATACAATCAATCACTAAGTCGAATGTTGCTGATGTTTTTCATGCAAATTGCTAGGCCATTATTTCCACACTGAGTTGTCTACGGATTTTTCCGTTTTCCCGATCACGACAAGGAGCACACAGCGGGTGTGACCGGTCGACAGTACTCCTCAATAAATCTTAAACTTGATCTATTTACTTCATACTTACTTACCCCCCATTTGTCACTATCACCCTGTAAACTAAACAAAACAATAGTGCTTGAGCACTATATAAGTAAACACATCTCATTCCATCTCACATTGGCCTCTCTTGGTTTTGAAGAAAGTTTTATGTCAAAAATAAGGTATTTTCAAGTCATATTATTAATCTATATGAACAAGTCTATCATACCAGTAAGAGCTATGAAAGTATTTGTTGTATTATATATTAAAAATTCTTGCATAGATCTTTCATTCAATTAAACTTTCAATTACATTATTTACAGTGATTAATTATCATCAATATGAAGCAAGCAAAAGGAAATATTTTTTCTGAGTAGAATACAAATTAATAGAGTCCTGCCCAGCAGCTGAACACTTTACCAAATGTTGTACTCTGTTTGCTTCCAAAATGCCCATTTGCAGAACAAAAGAATTTTTTTTAATATAAAAAATTGCATTTTCACTAAACATTCGACACAGCCCCGCCGAACACAGATATCCTGATCCAGGGGCCATGAAATGCAAAATTTTGGAAGACACACCCTTGCACATCATTACGTTGCACTTAGGTTGTTTGCTAAACATCCAGGAGCAGAGCAAAAGATTTTCAAATAAGTAATTTTTTACCATATAATCATTAGAGCTTCCCCAACACCAAAACCTTTGACCTGGGGTCACACATTCAACAATTTTGGAAGATGCACCCTTACTCATCACACATATGCACTTACTTTTTCTGCTTAATACCCAAGAGCAGAGGAGAAGATTTTTAAAGAATTGATGCATTTTCACTATTTTCAATAGAGCTCTGCACCAGAACTCCTGACCAGGGGCCATGAAATTCATAATTTTGGAAGAGGCTCCCTTGCTCATCGTAACTATGCACTTTCGTGTAGTTTGTTTGCTTAATACCTAAGAGCAGAGAAGATTTTCAAAAAAATAATATATTTTTACTATAAAATAATGGACCCCAGCCCCTACCCCTAAACTAAAACCCCTGACCCAGGGGCCATAAAATTCACAATTTTGGAAGAGGCACCATTGATCATCATAATTATGCACTTACATATAGTTTGTTAGCTTAATACCTAGGAGTAAAGAAGAAGATTTTCATAGAATTAATACATTTTCACTATTTAATCAATAGAATCCCCTTCCCCACACGCATTCAACACCCAGGGGCCATAAATTTCACAATTTAGGAAGAGGCAGCCTTACTTATCATAACCATGCACTTAGTTTATCTGCTAAATATCCAGCAGCAGAGAAGATCTTCGAGGAAATTTTCACTATATAATAAAACAGAGCCCCCAACCACCAGAACTCCTGACCCTGGGGCCACAAATTTTACAATATTGAAAGACGCACCTTGGCTCATTATAACTAGCACATGTACTTAGTTTATCTGCTAAATATAGAAGGGGATAGGAAATATTATTTTTTAAAAGAATTTAAGCATTTTCACTATATGATCTATGAGCCCATCCTAACCCCAGAAGTCCTGACCCTGGAGCCATGAATTTCACACTTTTGGCAGAAGGTCCAGGCTTATTACAATCATGAAAACAGTTCAAATGCTTGATTTGCAGGAGTAAAGAAAGTTTTGAAAAATTGCATCAATTTTGATGGCTTTAGCCCAACTCCTCAGTTCGTCCCCGGGGGTATAAGGACCATGAAATTCGCAATTTTCCAATCTGCTTGATGCCAAAATTGGTTGAAATTGGTTCAGCGGTTCAAGAGTGCTCAAATGTTAACGGACGACGCACAACGCACGACGACGGACGAAAAAGAAGGCAATAGGTTAACTGAGTGATTCAGGTGACCTAAGATTCAACACTACATATACAGTAATCAACACACTTGATTTCCTTGTAACATATTTACCCTTTGCAAGTCTGCCCTTAGAGCGTCTGTTGGAAAATTCGTGTCTATTTTTATCGTCAAACAAAAAAATCAGTAAGATCAATCGGTGTAGTTTCATCTGTTTTTGTCTCAGTGAAACACAAAATATCATGAAAAGAAAGTAATGTAGAAAATTCTGGGTAATTTTAATCATAGACATTGAATCCCAAGTATTTAAGTTCAGAAGCATGTTTCTTGAATAAATAGAGTCGGTCAAGTTATTTTCTATTAAATTGTCACACGGTGGATTTCCTCTTAGGTTGTCCTACCTTTGACTCACTGTTGAATTTGCGCACATTTAAATATAACATTGTTTGATTTAATTAATTTTTCAGTTACTGGTTTATTTTTTCTATTTCAACGAGTAGTTTTCTGCTACCGGAAATTCTGAACAAAGCATAATTACCTTTACAGGAATGTTACTCGATTCAGAAATGTGTCTTCTGAAAAAAATTTGGGCTATTTATAACCATACCTTCAGGTGAGCTTTTCTGTTCAAACTTTTTATGTCGTCTATCTGTATGGAATCGTTCTATATTTTCGACTTCTTCTTCAGCACCATTTGACAAACGATAACCAGAAAGTTTGCCTAAAGTTAATTTTAAGCAAAAAACTTGTTCCGTTTCAAAAGAGGTAATGAGTTTTTATGCCCCTGGATCGAAAGATCCCGGGGGTATATTGTTTTTGTCCTGTCTGTCTGTTTATCTGTTTGTCTGTTGTCAACTTTAACCTTGCCCATAACTTTTGATTAGTTGGAGCTATGACTTTCATATTTCACATGTGTATTCCTTGTGACAAGACCTTTCTTTGGGTACCATCATATTTGACCTTTTGACCTTGACCTTGGAGTTTGACCCACTTTTGCAAAATTTTATGAGACTTTAACCTTGGCCATAACTTCTGAACGGTTGGTGCTTGGGGTTTCAAACTTCACATGTGTATTCTTTTTGACAAGGCCTTCCTTTGGATACCAACAACATTGACCTTTTTACCTTGACCTTGGAGTTTGACCTACTTTTGAAAAACTTTAACCTTGGCCATAACTTTTGAATGGTTAGAGCTAGGCCTTTCATGCTTCACATATGTAATTCTTGCGGCAAGACCTTCCTTTGGATACCAACGACTTTGACCTTTTGACCTTGATCTAGGAGTTTGACCTACTTTTGAAAAACTTTAACCTTGGCCATAACTTTTGAATGGTTGATGCTAGGGCTTTCATACTTCACATATGTAATCCTTGTGACATCACCTTCCTTTGGATACCAACCACTTTGACCCTTTGACCTTGACATAGGAGTTTGACCTACTTTTGAAAAACTTTAACCTTGGCCATAATTTTTGAATGGTTGGTGCTAGGGCTTTCAGACTTCACATATGTAATCCTTGTGACAAGACCTTCCTTTGGATACCAACAACTTTGACCCTTTGATCTTGACTTAGGAGTTTGACCTACTTTCGAAAAACTTTAACCTTGGCCATAACTTTTGAATGGTTGGTGCTAGGGCTTTCATACTTTACATATGTAATCCTTGTGACAAGACCTTCCTTTGGATACCAACAACTTTGACCTTGACCTTGATGTTTTACTTACTTTTAAATAATTTTAACCTTCGCCATAACTTTCGAACAGTTGCAGCTAGGGCTTTCAAATTTAACATTTTTATCTTTTGGCCTGGATTTTGACTTGCATTTGAGAAACTTTAACCTTCGCCAAAAGCTGCCATACGGGGGCATCAGTGTTTCACAAACACATCTTGTTTTTTTAATGTTAACATATAAAAATAATCTTCTCAAGAAAACTTACTAGTATATAACATTCGCCTAATATGGTGTACATTCAAGATTGCTGAAATCATTGTCTCTGGTCAGAAAAAAACAAATATATGAAAGCTTCCTTACATGGTGTACATTTAAATTTCTTTGAAAATTATAAAACTGTTCCTGGAACTTCAGTGGGAGTATAGAAAAGGGAATACAGAGCTTAAATAGTGAGAAGTACTTCAATTTTTCTTCTGAACAATAGCTTGATCTATATTTAAGCATCCTCATTAAGTGCAAATTGAAGTTAGATCAAATGACGGCACGCGCTGCTAGAGGCCATAATGTGTTGATCAAAGATTCAAAAAGGATCTTGTATGTAAGAACATCTCAAAAACTTAATGGCTACATAAAATCAAATAAATATACAAGCATCCCATTGAAGTTAAGATTGAAGTTTGATCAAATAACAGTCCTCAGAGGCTAGACTGTGGCCACAATGGGGGTTCAAATAAAATAAATTGAGGTCAGACGAGACGTTCCTCGAATATATGTTTTGTATCTCTTAATATTATATCAAGAATTATTCATAATTGTCATTATCTTGTGATTTCTAAATTGTTTTCAATATGTTTTTAAATAAAAGTACACCTAAATTGTGACATAGGCCATTCAGAAGAGTACCAATATGGATTGTGTAAGAAATATCACCCTCTGGAATCTTGTCCAAATGCCTGGTAACGTACCTCAATTTTTTGTGAGGAAACTTGTTTAAGTACCTATACTTCAATGACAAATTCTTGGAAATAATTATATATTTTTGAGGAACTGACCTTAAGAAAATGAGAACTCCTTTTCAAGAACTACAGATTATAAATTTTAAAGTAAATGTGATTAATAATGCATAGATTAAATTTTACATAAATCATGACTCAATGGTCTCCGATAGAATCAATATTAACGTTCAAAATTTGCATATTACATGTGTATTTGGAAAGGAAAAAAATCTTTAAAATGGTTTTCAACAATAACAGCATTGCAACAGTCAAACTTATAATTGTGTTTTTCAGTATTACAACAATAAATGTAAGAGAAGTGAGTCAGTTTTAACAAAAATCCACGTCATGCTGCTCTAATCATCATCGAATTCATCTTCTTCATCTGGATCATCATCTGGATCCTGATCATCGGCCCTATTAGGCGTAGGTACATTTAGATCAATTGTTTTATGTGCTACAAAGAGAAACCCGTGAATTGAAATTAATCCCAATTGTTTTAAAAATTTATCATCATCTTTTAGCTTTTTTGACTATGACATTCTAATTACAAATCATGAGTTTTTCAGATTTATTTACTGTTATTCAGTTACGTTATTAATACCTTTAACGAGGACATGTAAGGGGTATTTTCAAACATCTTTTACTCACCAGTTCCTTTGTATAATTCTCGACATCGTGTAATGTCTACATCACAACCCAATCCTTTTAACGAAAAATGATTTACATTCACTGGTGAGAATTTAAGGGAATAAAACGACCTGAGATCACCACAAAAATCCACTAAAAGATTGTCCTGCAATAAAAAATATTTTGCTATTCAAAAAACATACTCTTGTGTATCAAATCAAATGAGAGACATAAACTCCATATGCAGGTGATAATGGTATATTGCTACATAAGAAAGGGAAGCTAACGATAGATAAGTCGTCAGGTCTGCTAATAACGAAAACCGATTAGTGTCTATGGGTATACCAACAGATTGTCGGAATACCTGGTCTCCGAAAACTACAAAGATGTCAATGAGAAACTCATAAATCTTTTTAATATCAACCTCGGAGTACTTGTGTGTATAGAATTAAATTGTTTTTAACAAAATTAGTTTGCAGATGACCAATGACAAGGTATGCAAATTTATGAGTTCCATTTTTATTGAAGAAGCAGTTGTCTTTGATGTCCAAAAGTCTGGTCTTTAATATATTGTAGAAAGTAGTTGTTTTTATGCCATTGATTTTGGCAACAAATTTATGATTTCATATTTTCTGCAAGTTCCTTGGATTTTTTTTTAGTATCGACAGAGATTCAAAAGGTGGAGAGGAGGTCTTTAAGTGTCGCTCTACTTATCATTCGACACAAAAATGAACATTATGTCAAAGGATTATAATGCTACTAAATGATTTTTTCATTGGGGGGGGGTGTCGTAATGAGCAAATAAAAAATGGAATTGTTTGACAATTATACTGTTCAAAAAATAAACAAGGAATAATACCCTGAATAATATAAAATAGTTTTGCCATATGAAATTTGTTTAGATGAATATGATTTCAATTGAGTAAGAAACATCATTTTAACGCTATTGCTAACTAGACAGCTAGATAGTCAGTCTACAAAACTCACAAACAAAAATACTTGATTTTGCATAATGCTAAAATTGTGTCTTTTTAATTTTTTTCTTTTGTTGGTTTCCTATTCACATCATTCAATAACAAAAAGTCTATCAAAAGATAGGGTTCTTGATTTTTTGATTCCCTTGTTTTTGAAAATTGACGCCATTTAAAAATGCTGCATCTGAATGATGCACAACACAAAAAGGAAATTGGACGACTGGCGTGTACAACAGCCTACAATTGCAGTAAGTTTTAATTTTTGCACAAAGCACCATATCCAACCTATACAACAGATACCAACAACACGGAACAACAAATGATCGCCAAAAATATGGCAAACCATGCGTGATAGCAGCAGCACAGGATTACTTCAGTGGTTTGCGTTATCTTCATCAACGTTCTACAATGACGTCGTCTGTAGTATTAGCTATCCCTGAATTGCACAGAATATCAAGTAAGATTGACTATGGGATGCTGGAATATAGCCAGAAGACTTATTAATGCCATTGTTCTGACCCCATGATACCGCAAATATTAACTTCAAAGGTCTCAGACCAACAGAGTATGGCCACAGCAGCACGGCTCAACAGTTTGGTTTAGCTGAGTCCAGATTTTGTACTGCAAAACCTTGATGGAAGAGTCAGAGTGCATAAGCTTCGTAATAAAGGTTTTGCAGAAAACTGCAACCGGGAGGTTTATAGATTTGGTGTTGGTAGTGTTATGATGTGTTATGATGATATGACCGACAGTATTGTATAGGCAGGACTGATTTGATTTATATTTAAAGGACTTTGACAGCACAAACAGTACTCTGACAATGTCCTACATATACCTGCACGTTTTTCCAGCAATGCATCACCCTGGAGCCATTTTTCAATCTGACTTTACAAAGCCACATATATGGCTCGATTGAGAAGTGCACTGTCGCAAAGCTACAGGATCTAATCCTACATTGGTCATCTAAATCGCCAGATTTAGACCCATGGGGCATGTAATGGACAAAATGGATAGGCATATTCGGCAAAGAAAGGCGCATCCCCAGACTCTGCAACAGCTGACCCAACCTCTACATTTAGAGTGGGATAGTATTTTAATACAGTTTAAGTACACTGGTCTGTGTCCATGGAATGACGTTTAGGCTATCATTGGTGTCTGCAGGGGCATACAAGATATTTATCTTTAATGATCTTGAACTATGATTGTAAAATTCTTGAGTAATTATTACTTTTAGATTGTAGAACTATTGTTTACCACATTTCCTAATATCAGTGCATCATTCTACTAAGTAACCTTTATGTCTTAAGATATCGCTTTGCGTTTCTTTTCTTTTTTAACAGTATGTTTTCATGAAAAGCACTTACTGTTCCATCTTGTTTGAGTGATGCCACACACTCCATGGTTTTGATATCCCAGACACGAATGGCATTCTCTTCCTTCAACCTGCTGTGCGTTATGAAATACCTTGCTCCTTTCTTCACAGGCGGTATTGTCACAGGAACAGCATGGCCACTTAATCGATGCAAAATGGTACCTTCGAGAAAGTAAAAGCATTTTAACTTGATTGGGTCAATACTTTTCCCATAAAGCTATAATCATTCGATCTCTAACCTCACACCTCTACTTCAATTTGTCAACATACTCCCCAGAAGTTAATGAAAGCCTAAATCATACTTCACCTTTTTCTGAATCCCAGATTCTGATTACATTATCGAGGTAGGATGTTATAAATCCCCAGTCCTCTATGCTCCTGACGTTCGGAACAGCAAACTTGACCGCTGGAAATGATTGAAAGGACGACTGGGGATACCCGTTATCGCTCAGTCTGACTCCAACTGCAAACAAGATAAAAATGTAGCAGGATATAGTTCTCCGAAATCTATCCTTTTTTCAGCAGACCAGAAGTGGTAAAAGAACAAGAAAGACTACCTGGATGCAAAAAGCTGTCACATAGGATTTAATATTCCTATAAAATTAACTAACATTTTCCATTCTTGGTAACCATAGCAACAGTGTTATTTTCTTCATCAAACTTTATCAATATATGATATTAATTTTTAGTTTTAATAAATAAGTACTTTTCAAAGTAAGTCAAATAATATTTTTCTTGGTTAAAAGGAACTAAATTATTAAAACCGCAAAAATATCACTTTAACCAACTGGTACGTTTGTTTCCATGGTTACACTGCAAAGTAGCAATTAATCCCAATTTCTCTGTGTTACACGGTCCTAACAATGTATATTTGCCAGTCTTGAATTTCCATGTTTTTCCTCAAGATAGTAGGATTAACCAAAATTTAGCAACAAATTATGTACGACTACACTATGTTACCATGGCAACCATGAAAGTTATTTTAAGAATAATATTGCCAATACATAATTACTTAAGGTCAAATATTTTTATCGTTTTTCTAGAGTTCTTGATAGAGTTTGATCATGTAACACGTATCATAAGTGAATATTGAGCATTACTATTTTCAGCAATCTTTAGCATTTAAAATGTATTCTAAAGGTACCCATGGTTACCATTTATTTTGAGATATATTCAAAATAGTTTCTTTATAGCATAAGTGGCAAAAAGGTGTCATGTTTTTGTGAGAACGGTTTGTTTGTTTTTATTAGTCTTTATTAAGGCTCAAAAAGATTCAAAGTAGCAGAAAATCTATTTTTTTTAACTTTTCCGACTGTTACAATGCCAACCAAGACACAAAGGAAATATAATAAAGACGTGTATTACGTTGTATATAAAGGTTTGTGATGGTATCCAGTATTAAATACGACTGCGCTCGCCACAACGGTTGCACCATAAAACACATAAGAACATAGTGTGTCTGAGTCTACTATACGCAATCGGTATTTTATAACTATGGAGTTTTGCATCGTATTATCGTGTATGACTATAGATGATCATACCTTTCTTTTCTCTTACTCTATGCAGCTGAAATTCCCATGGGCCATCCTGTATAAAATTTGCTATAAACAATGCAACATTTCCAGAGGAAGTAATGTGTACAAATTCAAATATTCGTAGACATCTTAACTCAGATTCGCCAATAACAGTCAGTAATTTACTATTCATGTCCAGAATAAAGAATTTATCTACTGTGCTGTTAGCAATAACCACTGAACCATCATGACAAGCCTACAATGACAAGAAATGAAAGCATTATATATTATTATTTTATAGTTATCTAAGAGTTAAAACACATTTTTAAAAGAAAAATATTCACAAATGACCCTAACTAAATTATTTGTCTGATCATGAATTATACTGGCACATGACTGTATTCCTAATAAATTGAGTTAATTAATTTAAAAACTTCCCATTATGTTATATATGTTATAATTATATTATTTTGGGGCAAAATGAGTGTCAACAAGACGTCAAACTAACTAAAAAAGTTAAAATACCGTTAATTCTTTGAGTCTACAGTCATCTTCAGATGGAACTTTGATGATTGATTTTGTCATTCCACTGCCGAGGTCGTAAATTTTGAAGTGTTTCCTCCCCTTTGTTACCGTAACAAGTTCTGGAATTCAAAAATATCGCTTGGGATTAGAAAAACCAAGAGGCCCATAGGCCACAACGCGTATCTTAATCACCTTTGTCCTACCGTTCTGATGAAGATTTTTGGATGTTCTTCAAAAGAAGATTTTTTAAAGATTTCTTTCCAACCCTACCCCTGGGGTTATGACTTGAACAAATTTTAATCTGCACTTTCTGAAGATGCTTCCACAATAAAATGACTTATCACGGCTTTGCTATTCTTGAGAAGATTTTAAAAGACTTTTTCCTTAATATTCCTATGTAAATCTTCGATTCCCTATAGTGGTCCACCCTTTCTCAAAGGGCTCATTATTTAAACAAATTTAAATCTAAACCACCTTAGGACGCTTCCATATCAATATGACCTATCATGTCTTTACTGTTCTAGAGATTCTTTACTATACGTGTATATTCCTTTGCAAAAATGTGGCCCCATAATACACCTACGGGTCATGATTTGAAAATTGAATCTACACTTTATTTAAGTTTCATCATTTCTGGCAATATGGTTCTTGAAAAGATTTTTAAATTGTTTACGAAATCTGAAATATTACCCCATGGTAACATACTTGAATCCCCTGCAACAAGGATACTTTTTGCAAATTTCTTTAAATTGACCCAGTGGTTCTTGAGAAGAAGTCGAAAATGTGACAAGTTTACAGACGAACGGACAGACAGACAGACGCCAGAAAAAATGTGATCAGAAACAGAAAAAAACTTGAGCTTTCAGTTTAGGTGAGCTAAAATATGCTGGTGCTCTAAATCAAATCACGTCACCACAACATCCATGAATGTGCTTGTATTTAACCTTTTTATTCGGGATGGCCTCGGGTTTGAAATTGCACGAGTCTATGTCTTTATAATTAAAATACATATACATGTACTTAATTTTGTCATACCGTTAATACTGCTAAACACACACACACACACACCCTCACACACACACACACACACACACACAGATAGATAGATAGACAGAGATCGGGAGAGAGAAGTAAAGAGCATTTGTTTCATTTCACTTCTATGTGTTATTTAATAATACTTTACAATTATACTTTAATGATACTCCACAACAAATATTCCATCTTTTTGCATTTGCACTCAGGTACCTCCTCTGTCCTTCAAAACAGCAATTTCTAGATATCCATATCGAGTAAATGGAATGTGCTGGAACATTTTCCCCTGAAAACTTCTTGTTACTTCCATTTTCTCTACGTTGAGAACTTTCAACTTCCGGTCTGATGAACATATGATAACTTCACTATCATTTAGAACCTCAAACAATCGTGGCTTTTCATTCTAGTGCAAACACAAAATGTTCAGAGTCACTGATAACAAAGGTGAATTTAAGAAAACATAAGCATAATCTCTCTGGATTTAACCCTTGAATATAGCAAAGTTGATAATTTTTATAATAGCCATATCTTTCTGTGTACTTTTACTTATTACATGCATTTTTTATTCCAGAATTACATATAAAAATGTGTGTAAAATTAGAAAAGTGTTCATATTAAAGCATTGATCTTATTTGTGATCATACGAGGGGTGATAAAAAAGTTTGCGAACTAATTGAATTACTTCCATAAAAGAAATAAAATTAGGTTTCAGTGTTCAATATTTTTTAAAAGTATCCTCTCCGATTTTAATGCATATTTGCCACCGTTCTGCCCATGCGCGAATCACGTGATACAGGCAGTCACGTGACATGCCCCGTGGCGTTCTGTTCACAGAAGCTAAAAGATTTCCGAGTCTTATATTTCTTACCATGCAAGTTATTTTTTATTTCAAGAACAGTCCATTTATCAGAAATGGTCAAATCTCGGAAATAGGATGGGTGGATAACTAAAGGATATCCTTTTCAAGAATTAGCATGGGGACCATCACAACTCGGAATCCGCTGTCTTGGGAGCGTCGTTTATCCAACGTGGATAAAGTATGGGCACCTTCTTTTTATCATATCTGATATGTTTAAAGTCTAAAGTAAACCATATTTTAGGGATTTAATAATTATATTATTGTTAATACATTCGACTATTTTTCTAACTTCAACTTGGCGATCTTTCATAACAAATTGCTCAGCTAAGGACACATCTCTTCTCCAGCTTGGTTTCACTGGGCAACAGAACAAACATCATTTTTAACCATCTCTCTTCCTTCACTGAAACAATCAAGCCATTTAATAATTGAACTTCTAGCAAGCTTTTTGTCTTCATAAACCTTGTACAAATTATTATATACAACTGCAAAGGAATTTCCTAGATATACGTTAAACTTTACAGCCGTTCGTTGCTCGAGTGCGACAGAGTCAACCATTTTTTGTCACAAGTCACCTACATATTGACGTCATTTTCACATTGTGACGTCACAAACATGGAGCAAAACAGTATATCTGCTATTTATAGAACATATGTATGACTACATAAGTGCCAAATTTCATTCTGATCTGAATTGTGGTTTTGTAAATATAGAGATAGTTCGCGAACTTTTTGATCATCCCTCGTACTTGTCAATTTCTTTGAACGATCGAAAGTTTACGAAATGAATTTTAAGTAGATTTTGTGTCACTATTCATCTAAATTTTTTTGAAGATCGGAGGGGGGATTTAAATCATCTCCCCTCCCCTTGTCCACTTCTTTCACATTTTTTAGGTAAATGACATAGGGACATAATACTTTGCACAAAGGTACATGTAGGTTATGACCAAAAATATTGTCATGACTCATGACCCTGATCAAAAGACATTAATGGAAGAGAATTATAGTGTAAAAATTTTTTCCAGTTCATAGCTTTGTCAAACTGAAAAGATATTTCATACTTTGCAGAAAGGTGGTTAACATGATCAGAAGACCTCAATAACTAATTCAAGGTCATCTGGTCATTGAAAGGGAAATTAAAAATACAAATTCTAACATGGCTATAATTTTCCAAGTGTTGATTGGTAGGTATAATTGTATCAAAACTTACCATCTGACATTTTCTGCTCACAACGTTTGTTGCCATGTCAATGGCAACAACAGCATAATCTTCGTCCTCCCCCTTCATTCGACGGTCCATCATAAACAACTGAGCAAGCCCAAGTAAATAACGCGGATTCGATACAGGACCATAATCACTGAAACAAAAGTTTATAACATTACTGACCATAATTTTATAATGTGTTATTTGTCCTCTACCGGTCCTGTATTTCATATATACTGATCCGTGCTTTTTACAAAGAGTGTGTGAGGAAATTCTAAAATTAATATTATTGACAGGTTCCTCTTGCCATTATGTGAGAATTTGTCAAAGCCAAAAATAAAACAAATTAAGAAACGCTGCTCTTGCACGCCATAGCATAAGTACACCCTAACGGTGAAATATTGGATTTGAAAGCAAATACTCTGACTCTAAAAGTTGTGCGAAATGTCAACTTTTTAGAAAATGACCCATTTTTACTTCATGGCAACGACAGCTATTTTGGATATTTAAACCCCAGCAACTTGAATGTTATGCACATATAGTATGAAATACAATTGGAGAAAAAAATCTATTTACAGTGAAATTCCTCCTTTTTGTTTCCATGGTAACAGTTAAAAAATTGTCAAACTAATTTTATCGTGCCATAAATTTTTTGGGGGGCAGAAACTAGTTTTATCAGAAAAGAATACTGTAATGCGTCAAAAGAACTGGTTGGAAAGATAGATAGTTACTGAGAAAAAAAGATTCGCCATTTTGAAAATTTATTTTGAATGCAAAACAAGACTTTTTTAGGGGAAATCATTACTCTACAGTCATTTTTCCGTGGGGGAAATCCTCCTCTAGAGCCAGTTTTCTGGAGATATTTTAGAGGGGAAAATCTACTCTACAAGACCGGTATGTCTACTTACTACATGTGAGCAAGATGTTTAACTTTATTTGTTTGGACGTCTTTCATTTTCTTGGTAAGATCCCATACCCTCAAGATTGGATCATTCGAAATAGTAACCATAGTTTTCCAGTCTGTGGATGCTAAACCTAGGACGTAACCCGGATGCAGGAACGTCTGTAAAAATATGACAATTTTTAACAATAAACATGTAATTTTTATGTGTTATTTTTCGCAGTTTTGTTGTTGTTGTTGTTGATTAAAAGGCTAAGACAAAAGAAAACTATCTGACATTTATTGCCTTTTATGAGCAATTTAGCTTTATTGTAAATTCGCTAATAACGCGAACAAGAAAACTAACCAGTCAGCAAGGGCCCCATCAAGGGGTAAAAATATAAGGGCGCAGCTTACGGAATGGAAAATTTACTTGATTACAAAAATTTAGAAATAAGCAACAGCAACAGTATTTATAACATTTCAAGATAATTGCTAAATGTCCAACACCTGTAAATAGTATCCTTGTATTTACATAAGGCAGTAAAAAACATCATACATGTATCTTATAATAACTCATTTAAATGTTTATTTAAACAAGAGGCCCAAGGGCCTTAACGGTCACTTGAGTATAATACAACAATTTAGAAGTTAAATACACTGATAGATAAAGCTTTGTTGCCCTAAAGCAAGAGAAGTAGGATGATCAGGATCAACAAAATAATTAGTCTAGTATTCAGTATCAAGTCGTAAATTAAGTTCTATTCTGTCCCCCACTTGTCACAATCAGTATGCAGACTATTAACAAACTATTAGTGCTTCTGTACTATTTTTAAACCTTACATTGACCTCTCTTGGTTTTTGAAGAACGTTTAATAAGATAAGTTATTTTTGTCTCATTTTTATTTATCTATTACTTACAGGTCTACCTGATTATTAAAACTAAGAAAGTACTTTTTGAATTATACAATAAAAATTCTTGCATAATTTTCTTGTTCTATTAACCTTTCAAATACATTATTTACAGTGATTATTTATTAAAGGTGAATGGAAAAGGGGAATAACTTCTCTCAGTAGAATACAAATTAATAGAGCCTTGCCCAGGACTAGAATGCTTAACCAAACGGTCCAGATGTTCAAATATCTGGTAAAAATACCCTTACTTATATTGTTAAAACTTTTACTCTGTTTGCCTCTGATATGCCCAGAAGCAGCGAGGAATTTCACAGGTACAATGCATTTTCACTACAGATTCAACAAAGCCCTACCCTAACACCAGGTTTTAAGAACCAGGGTCAAGGAATTTACAAATTTGGAAGAAATACTCTCATCATCATAACTATGCACTTCAAAGAATTAACACATTTCCACTATATTATCAAAAGCCCCCCTGTCCGTTATGCCAGAACCCCTGACCCAAGGACCACAAGTTTTAAACTTCTGTTAGAAGCTCCCTTTTTCATTATAGCTATGCAATTTGTTTATCAGCTCAACACTAAGGAGCAGGCAATATAAATTAATGATTAATTAATAGAATTAATGCTTTTTCATTACATAATCAATACCCCCCCCCCTCCAAAAGAACCCCTAACCCCTAGGCCATATATTTCACAATTTTAAGAGGCATCCTTGCCTATCATAATTATGCACTTAGATTTTTAAATAATCTCCAGTAGCAGAGAAAAAGACTTTCAAAGAATTAATGCGTTTTCTTTATATAATCAATAGAACCCCGCCCTAACACCAGAACCTCTGACCAAGGGGCCATGGAATTCACAATTTTGGAAGAGACATCTTTGCTCATCATAACTATGTACTCAGTTTGTTTAAAACCCAGGAGCAGAGAAGAAGATTTTCAAAGAATTAATGCATTTTCACTAAATAATTAATAGAGCCCCACCCTAACACCAGAACCCCTGACCCAGGGGTCAGGAAATTCACAATTTTGGAAGAGATCCCCTCCTCATCATAACTATGTACTTAGTCTATCACCTTAATACCCAGGAGCAGAGGAGAAGCTTTTCAAAGAATTAGTGCATTTTCACTATATAATCAATAGAGCCCCATCCTAACACCAGAACACCTGACCCAGGGGCCACGAAATTCAAAATTTTGGAAGAGGCAACCTTACTCATCATAACTATGCATTTAGTTTGTTTGCATAATACCAAGGAGCAGAGGAGAAGATTTTTAAATCAAAGGCCTGAAGGGCCTGAGAGTCGACTCGCTCGAGTTTATTGAGCTTTTTCATACAAAATGTCACCATGCCTTATATTCAGTTTTTATTGCATCTTAAGAAATTGAATGTCAGGTCTCCATGATTGGTTAAAAAATTGAGGGCTTCAATCCCATTTCACATGAGATTTTTTAAATTTATTTAAAGTTTGGGTTTGTAAATACACAAATAAGATTACATAATGTGACAAAAATAACAACATTTTGAATAGGAATCCAAATACAACTGTTTAAATTTGAACGGGTCTCAATTTACACCCCCCCCCCCCTCAAGTAAATAAAGGTTAAGGGTTTTAAAATCTCCCACCTTTTTAAGTCAGATGAGTTCTCTAAAAACTTCTCTTCAGTATTTTTTAATTATAATTATCAAATCTTACTAGATCTCAGTGTTCTATTAAGAAAAAAAATACAATAAAGTGAAATAAAAACAAGGGAAAAGGGAAAATCATGTAAAAAAAGGAGAAACGGTATCATGGAAAAAAATTAACATTTAAACGTAAGATAAATCACTTAAAAAACAACCTCCAGTAATGGAAAACAAACATTAGATATCTATGGGATTTTTTTTTCAAGACCCGCCTAACTATATACATGCATTCACACAATTTACTTTAATTGAGCATGATTATGTTTATGTTAAGTAACATATAATAATTTAATATAGCATTGTGGAAAGCAGCACTGCAAACCTGGATTCAAAAAATAAATTAAGCACACTAGCTGCAGTGGTCTGTGTTATGAAGTAATTAGGTAAATGATGCACACTACAAACCTGGATTCTAAAAATAGATTTTTCAGGCACACTAGCTGCAGTGAATGAGAATAGCAGGTGTGTGTGTTAGGGAGTATTCTAGGTCAATGATAAATAAACTTCAGATGGGAAGATTAGATCCGCCTAACATGCTTGCACATACTAGTATATTCATACGCAGTATTTGTACTTGCATTGTACAGATATTTAATCGAATTTTTCTTTAAAAAAACTGAAGACATACATCAATAATGTTCCAATATGAAATTTTATACTGTTTATACCTCTTAAGTTTAAGCAATCACTCAAACAAAAGCATTTTTTGCTAGAACTATCTTATTTGGTGTATGAATCCCCTAGATGAATGGGTGATAATTTTTACACTTACAGCTGTGATACCAATGAGTCGCTCTGCGAGCCGACTCAAAAAAAATAACGCATTTTCACTATATATTCAACAGAGCCCCGTCTAGTACCAGAACCCATGACCCTGGGGCCATGAATTTCACAATTTTGATAGAGGGCCCAATGCTTATTACAATCATGCCAACACTTTGACTGCTTGATATCCAGGAGTGAAGAAGATTTTTAAGGATTGCATTAATTTTAGTGGTTTTGGTCCCACCCCTCAGGCCCCAGGGGCAGGGACCATGAAATTCACAATGAAAATGTTAATGCACGTTGCACGACGACGGACGAAAACAGATAGCAATAGGTCACCGGAGAGCGTCTGCTCTAGAGTTGCGAAGTAAGGAGTTGATCCTTACGTCGCGGGTTCGAATCCCACTGTGGGACGTGGAGACCGGTCCTCCAGATGAGACCGTATAAACCGAGGTCCCGTGTCGCAGTAATTGCTGGCACGAAAAAGATCCTTCACTGCTCAATGGCCGTAAGTGCCGAGTACAGGACAAAATTTTCAGCTCTCTACCGGCAAGTGGTGGTGTCTCCATATGAGTGAAAAATTCTCGAGAGGGACGTTAAACAACATGCAAACAAAACTCAGGTGACCTAACAAAAAAGAAGCACATGTTTTAAAAAATGCCAGTCTTCATCAGTGAAAGCAAATATCACTTAGGCTTGACCTTTACTTCAAAACAAACATCAGTTGCAGACAAATTTGTTAATTAATCTCAAAGTGACAGATAAAGATAAGCCTCGATATTTTCTGCAGCAAGCAAGATAATTAACCCAAGGGGATTAATTGTACTGCTCTCTCATCTTTTTCATCTAAGTTTACAATAAGAACTTTTTCAGCAATGAAAGAATGAGATTATTACCTAATACCTGTTAAAATTAATAGTATTCTTGAATTTCCATAAGACAGCCAAAAAAAAAAAGAATTAAAAAAATCTAAAAAGGAAGAAATAAATAAAATAAAATAATAATAAAAGAAACAAATATCTTCATGTATTTCTTGTTTTAGAATTCAATAAAATCATAACTCATTGTGTATTTTAACCAAACAGTACAAGCATTACGTAAGTCCACATTTCAGAAAATGTAAGTAACATCATATAGAATCCACCTTAAGGAGGCTGGGGGGTTAACAAATTAACCACAAATTAACCACCAGATTTAACTTAATTTTTTTAGATATGATATCTTAAGCTGTCAACTATCATTTGGCAAAGAAAAATTTCAAAAATTTTAGTTTTAAAATTTGATCATTTTCTATATCTTCATATGGAGCTCTTCTTCTAAAGGAGATCAATATAGTCTAAAAATGGCCACCACCCCCCAGCCTCTTTAAACACCCAATTTTACGTTAACGCACCCAAAATTTACCTAATTGGAGATCAATAATATACCGCCTGTCAATCATTAAAAAACAATAGCTACTGATTAGATTGACAGGCCAGCTACCTGTGCTACCTGATAATCTGAATTTGCATGTTTTGGAAACAATTATCTGTCACGCGTAAAACGCTTTCATGTACCGCATGAATAGTCGCTTTGTATGTATAGGCCTATACACTTGGTTAAAAAAAATCAAATCGCTATATTATTGTTTGGTAATTATATCATGAAAAATAATTGAGAGTAGATAATTGACGTTATGATTTATTTTTTCAATTCCCATTATTGTATGGTACTTGTAAGCGATATGACGTCCAACATAATTCAACTGAAGAACTTTCCGAAGAAAAACAATAATGGCGAATATTCGAGGTTTTGTTTTAAATGGCAATTTGGAAGT